TGATCAAGTTGTGTAGTCCATATGTTTTTGCAGTGTAAGAGTTGCAGATTACAGGATAGTTTTTTTCTGAAACCAAATTGTTTATTGGAGAGTAGGTTGTTTGTCTCTAAGTGGAGGATGATGGATTGGTTAATAATTGATTCCATGACTTTACAGGTGACGCAGCATAAGGAGATTGGTCTGTAATTTTCAACTAGGCAAGGGTCTCCCTTTTTGAAGATGGGGATGACTGTGGCTTGTGACCATAGGTTAGGCAAGGAACTGGTCCTGAAAGATTTTTCAAAGATTATGCTTAGAGGTTTGGCTATGGCAGTGGATAGCTTTTTTAAGAAATAGGCACATATTCCATCCGGTCCAATAGATAGAGATGGTTTTAGATTGCGTAGTTCTTTTTCAACATTGTCTTCTGTAAAATCGATATGTATTAGATCATTGTAGTTATCTGTGGTTCGGCTAGGAAATACTGGGCATGATCCATTGCTGTTTACCAATACTGAGCCAAAAAATGTGTTAAAGATGTTGGCTTTAATGGTGTCGTCGTTGCAGTCTTTACTATTAGGTCCTATCAGGGGTGGGATGGACCTTGAATCTTTTGGTTTGTTGTTTACAAAATTGTAAAAAGCACTGGTGAAATTGGTGCTTAGAAGGTTTTCCTCTTGTTTAATGTGATAATTGGTGCATTCGGTCTTTATTTGGTGGCATAAATTTTTGTATCAGCTTTTGAAATTGGCAACATGACCAGATTTGTTTTTCCGCCAGAGTGATCTCTTTTTGGATTGAAGGCAATAGGGGCAAAGTTGATTTGAACAAAATCTAGGAATTGTATAAAATGGGAGAAGAGTTAATTTCATTGTAAAATAACTTCTCTACTAAAATCATTTTTTTAAAATCAGAAGTCTAAAATAGTAATGGTGTGACTTGAGAGGATATATTATTTCCTTTTTCACCAAAACTTCCATCCATTTCCCCCCCACACTAATAAAACTCTGAGTTGCCAAAGAAGTATGATACGGAAAATGTATTGCAGAGGTTGGGATCATCCTAACACATATAAAAATATTAAATCTGTACTCTAAATGTAACATGCAGATTTTGAGGGTTAACAATTAACAAAGTGTGTGTAAGTCCTGTATTTTTAGACTATTATTGTTTTCAAGGTTTTAAAGTTCTAAATGAAGGCATACGTGAAATTTTATTTTTTATCTAAAAAAGTCTTTATTCCAAAAATTTCACTGTAAAACAAGCCATGAAATAATTGTTTTAACATAGATGCAGATGGAGAAGATGTAATAATCCTTTCTAAATAGCCTTTTTAACCTCTGATTAAATAGATGTTCATGTCTCCCTTATAGATAATGCTTTTATTATGTTCTGAGGTACCAAGAAACTAGAGGATAAGGCAGATAGGTTTTTTACACCATACTTTTTTATTGTATATTTCCCGAAGAAATGGAATGATGCTGCATGATTAATTGTTCAGGTTTTTCCTTACATGACTCACCACTTTCTTCAGCGCCTAGTACACATGTACTGCCTGGACAGGATTGGGCTATGAATGTAACTGCTAAAGCTGCAATCTCTTAGATCTGCATGTTCCCAAAGCAGAATGGCTGAGGTTTGAGGCACCTGTTGCTAAACCTTTTTCTTAGTCAAAAGACAGTTCTGCAAGCCAGAAAAGAAAAGCTGAAGTTGAAATATCAATGACACTCTGTAGTGTAATGAAGGAAGCCAAGAGTTGGTTTGAGAGTTACTCAAAGCAGCATACAAAATGATTTGTCAGCTAATTAAAAAACAACTGTCTTGTTTATTCATTAGAACTGTGGACAGTCATTGTTTGTGGAGCAGACTCCAACTAATTACATGCCAGCCAACAGCTGATTCTCCCCCAGAAGGAAGCATTGCCTAATAAAGATCATAGATGCCAACCACTAAATACACAAAGTACTAAAGATGAGCAGTTCAATCGCCAACTGTCTGGTTTTTCTCAATAAGGCTAGTGATGGACAAATTTCGGTAGAACTCTACTATTCCCACCTGAAAGTCAATCTTTGTTTCTTACTTGTCTTATGGTGAGATATTTATATGAAATATGATTCTTTTGTGCAGTTAGGAGAAATCACTAGCCTTTCTATTATCATAATCATTTTGCTTTTTAAAAATGCCTGTAATGATTAAAGGACATTGGCACCAACTGTTTTAATTTTACAGGTATTGCAAATAAGATTATAGAAGTGTCATTACTTATTCCTTGAAAGCAGTTTCAATCCATTTGACAATTATTTTGTGTGATACTAGAATGCAGGGTAAACATTCATTCTCATTATCTTTAAAACAAATGTTGGTAAATGTTTGGTTTTGTGTTATCTTAATTAAATAGTGATAGCATTATTAAATAAAAATTCTACCAATAATTCAGTTGCCACCATATCATATATTTTTAAACACTTCTTTAAAGCTAGTGAGGAATTCTAAAGGTCTTTTTTCAATGTCAAAAATAAGCAAACTAAATATATTTATTTAAATACTTTCTAGGGGGAAAATCACAATAATGCATTTGAATAAACTATGGGCTATTTTATGAACAACTGCTGTTTTTTTTAAAATGTACATAGTGTGCTTTTTCTACATATTTTTAGAATAATTTAAAAGAGAAATGTGGTTTCGAAGGAATTGGTGCTTCTTAGGAACACACATATTTCTAGGAAATTCTGCAAATCCATGAATTGTAATGGCAGGTTTGTGTACCTAAGTACACAGAAAATATTCATGGATCTTTGTTGGATCTTACATATGCCTTTTATTTTATCAGTGTTAGTGCTTCTGTTATGTCTTCAGTTACATGGAATGTGTTGTATTATTAGGCTACATGGAATGTATTGTGTCATTAGGCTACATGGATAATACTATCCTTGTGACCTTATTAGGCTAGGGGCAACAGCAGGAGCTTGGAGAAAAAACATTGACAAAAGTTATGAAGATATCTGTGCCATTTAAAATCTTTGTGCAAACTTCGTTTTCTAGAGTGAACTAATTTATTTTGTCCACACATTGTCTATAAATTTATGGGAAAATCTGGCCTTTAAATATCCTATCATATACTGCTATACTCAGGCTGATGGGACCCACACCATGTTTCTTCTGCCAGCACAAGTGGTACAGGCCAATCCCAATGGGCTGAGACAGTCCCTCAAGTAACCTGGACTTAATGCCATGAAGAGCTTTAAAGGTAATCACCAACACCTTGAATTGCATCTGGAAGCAGAGTGGTAACCAGCACAGCGCGCGTAGCAGTGTTGTTACAGGGACCATGCTTGGGACTCCCAAATCTACCTGTGCTGCCACACTCTGCACCAGCTGTAGCTTTTGAATGCTCTTCAAAGGTAGCCCTATGTAGAGCACATTCCCCGAGTGCAGGGAATCCAGGAAAGGCCACAACTGGTGCATAACACAAAGTTGTGCAAAAGTTCTTCTAGTCACTACTGCCACCTGTTTCTTGAACAGGAGTCACGAGACCAGGAGAACCCCCAAGTTGCAGTCCAAGTCTTTTGGGAGCAATGCCACCCCATGCAGAGTCAAATATGACAAAATCCCAGGTCTTGGAGCCCCATATACTGAAAACCATTTGGTCTTACCAGGGTTCAGTTGAAGCCAGTTGTTCCCATCCAGTTCCTCACAACCTCCCCACAAGGGCAGCTACGTTGTGCAAGGGAAGCTACGACATCACTTGGGTCACCAAGCATAGAAATATAGAGTTGGGTGTCAACAGCATACAGTGTTTACCTCAACGTCTGATGATGGATGATCTCACGCAAAGGTTTCTTATAGATGTTGAAAGGGGAAAAAGAGTTTCTTATAGATGTTGGGGTGGAAAAAGTACTGAGCCCTATGGCATACCACAGAATAGCAGCTGAGGGCTAGACTTCTCACTCCCTATTAATACTGAATGGGACCTGCCAAATGAGTTGAACAAGCGCATAACTGTGCCACCCATCCCCATCCCCTATTAAGGTTAATAAGGATAATTTTACATAGATTTTATATCTAAAAGCTGAATGTGGCATTCATAAGCAATTTTAAAATAGATTAAATTATATATTAAAGGTGTCCATTTTATGCTTAATAATATTGAGGTCATCACTGTTAGTGTTTGGGGATAAACCCCCAAGCAGAGTATGCAGCAGCAGTCAAGCCAGGCAGGCAAATGAGAGAGAGAGTGGGCCCAAGAGTATACACACACTGGAGACAAAAACACTGTTTGTAGTTATAAAATAGTTATTTATTGCACACAGAGATTAAGAAGTGTCATTCAGTCCATATGTCATTATCTAGTATATCCATCCAGTTATCAAGTCCATTAACAGTAAATACAATGTCCTTATCTGCTTGTAAATCTTTTCCTCCCGATACCTTTCTCTCAAAGACAACGCTGAATCCTCAGCTCACCAGGCAAACAGTCTTTGTGTTCAGTTGAAATGGTATCTGGCACAGTAGCCTCCAAAATAAGCAGATAGACGTTCCAGCAGGCAGCAGACCAGGAACAGAACCAGGTGCATCCAGAAGCCGGGTCTATTACGTTTTCCTTCCTACCTTTATGGCTGCCTGCAACCGCACCCACAATGACATTGCAGTTTCTTGTGCTTAAAGCTACAAAACACTTAATCCTAGGTTTACATATTTATTCAACCCAAACCTAGTTGGTGTATCCATATACCCAACATTCACAATACTGAATTGTTACTTATTGAGTTTTTGCATGTAAAAACATTCTTTAAACACCCAAAGCTTAAATATGTCTTCATAATAGCCTTTAAAAGTAAATTTTACTTTTTATAGGAAGATGAAATTATTTTATCTAAATGTTTGCATTAATCTATACAGATTATATGCAGGTCAGCAGTGCTTGTGAATTTTGTATTTTGAAATTTGCTTATATTCACTGAAATGGAAATATATGTGCTGTTACCTTTGTAACTTTTAACTTCTGGTTTTTTTTTAAATAGTGACTAGAAAAATATGGAGAAGAAAATGAGACAGCTGTGTCCTATTTCTGATCCAGACACAACATACTTTCTGCAAATAACTTGGTGCAAAGATCTGGGTATGGGTTTTGATCTTATACTAAGTGATGGCCAATCATCTTGGACTGGAAGAGGTATAATAAATTTATAATAAAGTATAGTAATTTGATAAATTACTGTATGACTTACTACCATTGATTTATTAATGGGTTTCCCACTCACCCTTTTCTACTTATGTTCTATTTATCCCAAAATTAGTTGAAGTTTCCCCTATACTCACAATTATTTTATAATTTTGTTCTTTTGTTCCTTGAAGAGAGTCTAGAGCCAATTCTGAGTATTCAATGAGGCAGAAAAGGGAAAAATTGCTTCCATTGTTTCTGCCTCATTATAGGTGCTTATTCTTGTCCCCTGGTTGGGAAGAGTAAAACCTGAAAATCATAGCCAGTTCCTTTATTGGGCTCTGGAGACTGTATGAAATCAGTGGAGATTATAATTATTCTAAAATCGATATTTTATAGATTACTAAATTAACATCCAAATTATATTCTTCGGTCGAGTTGTATAAATCTATAATCTCATATTAAATTATAAATTTTACAATATAATATATTTTAAAACTTCAGTGGACTTCTAGTTGAACGATCTTTGAACAGATCAAAGATTGATCCAGGCCAGCATTCTAGACCTACCATCTCTATCCAAGTACTGATAGGAACTACAGTAACAACTTAAATACATTGATAGCTTTCTCTTTATGTTCTTTAGTGATTGGTATTTAGAGATCCTCTGACTATTGTACTGGAGATACAGTCTATCCTTCATTACTGGTAACTATGGTAGTGTTTCCTCCATAATGATCTTTTGAAGTTGATAATCTTTTCTACATATAATTATGTATTATAAAGCAGACAACTTCAATTGTCTTAGTTTTTAAATGACTTTTTAAATATAACCATAGTCCTGTGATCTGTAAAATGTTTGCTCAATTTTAAAAATATGGTATAAGAGGTTCCTTGTTAGGAAGGCCTCTTGCATTTTCACTATTTTAAAGAAAACCTAAAACATGTAATATTTTAGTTATGCTTTTAGAAAAGTATGATTTCAAATAAATTCAAATGTGTTTGAAACCTATCTATTCATATCACAACAACTATAATGGCCTTTCTTTCAAATTTATTTTAATTCTTTGAATTACTGTCTATTAGTGTCTGAAGAAAAGATTTCCAGAGAGGCTGCTGACATGGAAATGAAACAAGAAAAGTATGTAGAAGAACTTAAAAAAGTACTGTTGTTTGACCAGTTCTCAGATACATACCGTTTTGATATTTCTAAAAAAGAAATAAATGGAGAATCAATTCATTTTTCATATGAAAAGAATTTGAAAGATGTTACTGTAAGTATTGCTTTGTTACATTTATTTATCCATTTTTATGTCATAAAATCAATATTTGATGTCAAGTCTTCTGGAACAATGCTTAGGCCTTTGTCTTAAATCTCAGCAATTATAAATTCTGGTATACTACTGAAGTATTAGCATAATATTCTGTTTTTAAAAATCAGTGAGAAATATTGTGCTTATGGGAATCTTTTTTAAAATTCTAGAGTTAGAATAAAAATTATATTGACTTTTCAGTTCCAAAGTTTTGTAAAGCGGGATTCATTTGTTAAAAATGAATACACACACACACACACACATTACTGTGATTTGAAACATTGCTACCTTTGTTTTAATGTACACAAATATGTATCATTTATTTATTTATTTCTTATATTTATATACTGCCAAATCTCTGAAGTTGCAAACTTACAGTGGCAAGAACTACTATACCAGTCCCATTGAGCCAGGACCTAACTGGACTCAAGAGAGTTTGAAGTCCATCAATACAAAAAGATTGGGAGGAAGATCCATACCAGTGTACATTGTTGATATGTCTTTTGCCTATTTTTTTCCATCCAGGGACTGTTAAGATCATATTACATAGAACATGATTAATATTAATCAGTATTGTTTTAATAATCTCTATTATGTGTATTTATGTGGGTCTTTTGTTAAATAGATAATCCAATTTACAATCCCAATTCAGATCAGTATTTCCATTGCTAAGCAAGGCAGTTGTTAAGTGAGTCATGCCTAATATTATGACCTTTTTTGCTATGGTTGTTAAGCAAATCACTGGTGTTGTTTAGTGAACCATGTGGTCATTAAACAAATCTAGCTTAACCTTGATTTTGGGTGTCTGAAGCTGGCTGGGAAGGTTTCAAATGGACCCCAGGACACTGCAACGATTGTAAATATATGTGTTGCCAAGCATCTGAATCACATGCCTGTGGGGAATGCTGTAACAGTTGTAAGTAGGAGAAACAATTGTAAGTCTGTTTTTCAGTGCTGTTGTAACTTTGAACAGTCACTAAATGAGTTGTAAGTCGAGGGCAACCTGCATTTAAATATTTAAGAAGTAAGCCTATTCTATAAACTGGAGTTTGAGCCAAACTGATAGGAAATTGTTAGGAAAATTGAAATAATGTATTTATTTTTAATGTAATGTATCTTTTAGTGGTATTTCCAACTCTAGTTAGTGCATGTGATATTAAGAATTAAAAGAACAATAGGGAAAACAACGAAGTGAATCACAGAATTCTAAAAGACATATCAAACAGCAGAATCAAAACCAATCTGCCCCAGGCTTTTTGAAATAGCAGCTTTTCAAGTTAAGAACAAACTGCAGAAATACATTACTGTAAAGTGATAACCTTCTAGAAAAAGGATGCAACCTTTAATGGTAGCTTGACACTCTTATATGCATGAGAAGAATAAAAGCAACATAAAGCAACAGCAGAATTTAACAAATTAAATGGTATGCACTGGTTTCTTTTAATTAAACAATGCCATGTTTTGGGACCTAGGAAGCCTGCCTTCTGAGCTTCTTGTTTGAAACAGCATCACTTCAGACGTCTGTAAAGTTCTTATGTTGGTGATTTTCAAAAAGAGAAAACCTGGCTGTTTGCATTTTGAGCATGGTTTAAGGGTCTGCTAAGCTCTTGTGGAATATATACTTGATTATATTTTCTTCCTGACTTACGTGGTCTCTGTTTTTTTAATTCTTTTTAACAATGCAAGCTGCCCAGAGTCTTATGGAGTTGAGCAGCCTCTAAATATGACAAACAAACAAAATAAAGGAATTTAGGTCAGGAATATGGTGAATATGGTATATAGTTGTATATGATATATGACTGCATAGGTTCAATTTAGCTTTGGATACTTACAGCCCCTGATTATTCTGGATGTTGAAATTCATTCCAACACATATTAAAAATGAATATTACCAATTCATGGGTAGTAATAGAATTGCTGAGAGCTAGATTGAAATACTGTATGACTCCAACTGTATTCCTGCAATGATTCTAGTCTATTTCTCTTACATTTTTCTGCAGATATTTTTCAGTTACTATATGGAATGCCATGAAAATATATTTGATAGTTCTATCAGAAGATAAATGTAAATTCAAAGATCTACTGAAAGAAAATTAAAATTGCTGAAAATAGTTATACTTCCATTGAAGACAATGGAATATCTGAGGGACTGCCACAGGAGAGAAGTGGGCTATTCTCCAAAGCACCTGAGGGCCGGACAAGAAGTAACAGTTGGAAACTTATCAAAAAGAGATCCAACCTAGAATGAAGGAGAAATTTCCTGACAGTGAGAACAATTAATCAGTGGAACAGTAGCCTCCAGAAGTTGTGAGGTTTTTAAGAAAAAAGGTTGGAGAGCAATTTGTCCAGAATGGTATAAGATCTCAATAAAGGAAAATATTTGTAGCATAGGATTGAAATGAGGTGTCCTTGGTGCTATCTGAGCTTTGTTGTTTTCTTCTAAGGTTTCACTATCCAGATTAAGTATAGGATCTCCTACCTGAGCAGGGAGGGATGTTGGACTAGAGACCTCCAAGGTCCCTTCCAATTCTGTTTTACTGTTACTGAGATTATAATAATAAAATGCTATATCTGTACAATGATTCTATACTAAATTAATTTTCTGTTAACAATGCTTGGGTTTGAATCTATATAACGAGAGGACTCAACTGATATATAATATTGCATTCATTAATATGATTGCTTGGATCTTGTTAAACTTGCAAATAAAAGAACATGGGGTATCTAGATGAAAAATAATAAGGATAAATTGCATTTAATCATTAGCAGATTGTTTAAAAACCAACTACTTTGTTTCACAAGTTTTAAACTTTTAACATCTTCTATAAAGTTTTTAGACTGATAAGGGCAAAATAAATGGCTGAGAAGTAATTTTAAAATAACAATAGGCCTGGTACACTGTAGGGCTTGTGTGTCAAAGCAGATGCAGAGGCAATATGGGCCACACACACTGAGAGCTCAGTAAGGGGCCATTGAGGCTTGGCCAGCTAAACTGCTGCCACCTAAACAAACATCATAACAAGAGTCAGAGATTTACTGTTTGATCTAAGTAGGTGACCACTTGGAAGTAAATCTTTCTGAGTACTTCACCTAGGAGCTCTCTGCACATTGCAAATAATGGGACTCCTGCGAGACTTTCTCATCGGAGGTGGCAATTAAATTGATTAAAGAGCTCTTGATAAACAATATTTGGGAACTGGCAAACCTTTCGGTACAATCAGGTGGCAGATATTGTAGTTTCTTATGAACATTAGTAAAGTTTTAGCCAGATAAATTTCTGGCATATGCAAAATTTGGCTCAAAAAGAAATCCTACAGCAGCATTATATTTTTCAAAATGATTAAAGCAAGAAAGTCATTTATCAATTCAATATACATTTTCTATTTTTTAAATATGCCTCTAAATGTTACCTAGCACTGATGATAGTACCTAGTTTGAGTAATGAAACATCTGCAAGAAAACAAGCAAGCTCAGAGAACACCAAGGACCCTTCACCTCTAAATGTTTCCAAAATTATTACTCAAGGGCTTAAACTCAATTTAAATATCATTTTCATGTTTTGGATCATATATTCTGTGCTACAGTTTTTGGTGTTTAGAATTGCTTGTTCAGTTGAATAGAAATAATTTCCTGTGAGGAAAACTTTTAAATCCTACATTATTGTCTAGACTTTTCCGCTTGGCAACATTATCTAGTGGACTCCAATTTTATTTTGTTTTATTTTTAATATTAACAGAATTTAAGTCAAATTTAAATCTCACCCTGCCTATCATTTGGCCTTAGAGAAAGAGTAATTATAGAGTCTTCGTTGATTATAACCAATTGTAGAACATCATAAATAAAGATCAACAATTGAACTAAAGCTGGAGCATAGAGTGTGAACTAACCGTAATTTTGCCATGATGTGCAACTACCCACTAATGTTTAAATTGTATTTAAAAGTTACTACTGCCTGATCTCTAAAGCCAAAAATGTTCATCAGATTGCTTTTCTCATTTCTTTTGAAGCATTGATGCTCATTTTTCTAGAATAGATTATCTTTCAGCTGAAATTCATTACTGTTAGTATTATGGAAGGATGATTGTGTGATTTCATAGCCATCTTCTGCTTTTCAGCAGTTAGCACAAACCATGGTACTGAACAGTGAAATTAGTGACAAGAAAATGGGTTTGAGACTGTTTTTACTCCTTTTTGATTTTGTTATCTGTTTCTTTGTGCCTGTAATTTTGTTGTTTTAACCATATACAGTTATTTTCTTAAGGTTAAACAATTTCTTCAAAATCTTTCCAGCATCAGAAATGAAACCATACTTCTTTGCAGTCTGATTAAAGTATCAGAAATAGACTTTAAGATAGTTATCAAATAATGTTTTCTTAAACCATTTAAATACTGAGAAGTATTCTTTTTAATTCCATCTGTTTATTCACAACATTATAGATAAACTGATGTTTAAAGTGAAGAAATAAGTCACATCACAAATATGCTTAAAATAAATTGTCTTACAGGTTTATAGATTAATGTCATAGATCCTGACCTACTGTATATCTTATAAATGCCTATTAATATATAGTTATCTCTCTCATCCCTCCCAATTAATTTAAAGGGTATAAAAAGCACCTGTATGATGACAAAGTGTGGGGAGAAACTGGAAGAGTGTGGGTTTTTGTTCCACCTTAGGCACAACACAAGAAGGGTAACCTTGTTCTAGCCACTTTCTCTCGCCTTTAGAAAGGAGGCAAAGATGTTTCTGAAACAGAAAAGTGATAGTATTGTTGAAAAGCGCATATATTGTTCCAGCATCTCTAGCCTACTATGTTTATGCTGGTATATATGTTACTTCTACTATGGAAAAAATCATTTGCATAATTATAAAAAAATAAAAATAGAAAGCAGTGATTCATATCTGTTATGAGGAGGAAGCAAACTAATGCATGTTTTTTACAATAAATTGTATTTTGCATGGCCCTAAGTTAAATCCAGGTTTCATCGCATACAATACAGTACCTTATAATTACCATAGGTACCAATAATATACTTATTATCATAATGCAAATTACAAGAAAAGTATTCTGAACAGTAAATTGTAAGTTTATTAGATTTAATAAATAAATCATGGTTTAAAAGCCTATTTGAAAGGAGATGTCTCAAATGAAAGGAACATTTAAAGCCTTATTGCTTTTCTCTAGAACATCAAAAAACATCTGTAGTTGGGACAATTTCCCCCCACTTAGCATTATTTCATGAGAAAGAACAAGATTTGTGCATTCAGTTAAATTATTTAAAAAGCTATCTCCCATCAGTGATTCCTAACTATGAAAGCTAGCTTCCTTTTTAGCAGTACATGAGCCTTTTGATAAAAGCTGCTGTGTTAAATTTTATGTTTAAAAGTGGTTCTAGCCTTCTGACTTACCTGGCACAAAAAAAGCATTTCCAGCCAAGCCATTTACTAAATATTTGTCATTCTGGATACATGGAATCTAAACTAGAAAACCTGATTCATGCTCTTCATAAAAATGTATAAAATAATATGGAAATAATCAGCGGTGGTATTCTACCAGTTTGGCCGGGTTCTGCCGAGCTGGTAGCACCAATGAACAGTGGAGGCCAAACTGGTTCTCTCCGATGCACTGCTGTTGAGCCCATCTACCTGCCGGGTTCCCATACTAACCTTTATTCCCTGCTTTTTGAAGCGCAGCTGCTTTGCAGATTGCTGCGCAGCTGCTGAGGTGACAGGGAGAGAGCAGGATTGCAGGAGGTGAGTCAGAAAGCCTTTGAGCCTGCGCGTTTGGCATGCATGCGCAAAGTGTGTGTGCTCAAAGCACACCCACCAAGCCACACTCACTGAACCGGTGGTAAAAAATTCCGAAACGCACCACTGGAAATAATGTTTTTTACTTATTTCATAGTAGCTAACAGGAAAATGAGATAAATGTTGTTTAGATTTAAATATAAGCATTTAAATGGTTTATTGAGAAAGCCTGAGGGTAAAGCCTTATGAAGACACCGAGATCTCTAATCTCTGGGGTCTGCTCATCCCCTTCCTGAACTGGTTTCTTATGAGAAGCAGAAGTTGTAAGAAAATCTTCTGCTCGTGTACATCAGGGATGGAGAACTATGGTCCTTTTATGACTTGTGGAATTCAACTCCCAGAATTCCTGAGCCACCATGGGTGTTGAAGTCCACAGTCATAAAGGGGCCATAGTTCCCCACCTCTGATGTACATGCAGGCATCGGTGAGGTAAAGGTGGTGCACACAGCCTCATTTCGTGTTTGATGCACAACATGGCATTTGTTATGGCTGGTTATCATCTGTGGGTCCCCCTCTGTGGAATTGGTGTAAATTATTAACTATTTATGAATTCTGGTATTAATACATTGTCATTTAGCATTGATGTTCTCTGATTTTATTATTGCATTGTTGCAGCCTCCTATTCACTTACCCACCTACCCTGCCTCCACCCATATTTGACTCTTGCTAAGACTTTTATGACACAGCGCTGCCATAGTTAAGTCATAGCCTTGGTATAATATTATGACTGTGGAGGCATTTACTTTTACTGTAGAATTAAAGAGCCAAAATCTAAACAAAAAGAAAATAGGAGACATTGTTTTCCTTGTTAAGTTATCATTTTAAAATGCTTGATCATAACTAGGCAAAAAAAAAATCATAGTCATCTACAACCAGAGGAAGATGTGTATTTTTCCCAGCTTTACATGAATCATATTTTTTTTTGTACTACAGTTTGCACTTTGACCTTTAGGAATAGTGCTGCTTTTAGAATAGTGATGATAACCATGACAGAGATATTGAAAGCTTGTGGATTTTAATTGCCATGTAATTAAAATCAGACGTGCCAGACAGTATTTCTATAACATTTTAAGCAGAAAGGTTTGTGTTTGGCATTGTTCCAATGCTGCATATGTTCATCAAATTGCAGCCTATTTATGCTATCTGGAAACACATGTGTTTAGTTTTGGGAACAATGGACTTTCATCAAGGCCACCTCCTAGGACAGCAAATACAAAAAGTATGTAGTAAGTATAGTACCAAAATGAAAATAAAATATATGCTTGTTCAGATTTCACGTAATCACTTCATACTGTAGAAGACAGTGGGAGTCTGCTAAAGACATTTAAAGCAAAAAGGACTTAACTTGTGTCATTTTTTATAGCTTGGAAAATAGTTAAAGCATTAAAACAGTTGAGGAAATTTTTTAAAAAGGCAATTGTTTTCTGTGAGTGTCTATATAGATTTAATGCTGGTCTTCGTTCACCTCTGCATTTCTCACAACCTTCTGATATAAACGTTCGTTATGCTTTTCCTGTGCAAGTGAGAACAGAAAAGTGCCTGGCTAAAATCTCCCCTACCACACAAAGGATACCTCCCAAGTTGAACATGACTATTAAATTAAAGACTTTTTAAATCAATTATTGATGGGTATATGTGTGAAAAAATGCTTAATTGAGTCCTTGGCCAATCATTTCATTGTTAATGAAAATAATACACAGTTGCTGTATTAAATATATTCTGATAAAAATTTAGATTTCTATCTGATACTATAGAATATAATATGTGCAACTTTCATTAATGATTGTGCAGATAGGCATGATAGCTTCCTATGGAAAACATGTTTCTTATAGCACATTTCTTTTTATATTTACTATTAATTAATAAGAGTAGAAGCCTTTTGAACTGTGTTTGACCTTCCTGAACCAGGAACACTTCAGTACAAAAGATATTTACAGCTCTGACATGCTGTTCCTAGGTAAACTATAGATTTAAAAGCAGTAACAACAAATAATTTGTGGAAAGTAAGATGGGACTTTCACTGTTGTGGCTACATATGAGAACTGGATGTAATTTTAAGTTCAAATTATGTCAATGTTCTTGCCTTTCCATTTCATTTGGGATTATTTTTCATTATGATTTTGCCCTGGTCTTTGTTTTTTAAAACAAGTTCCTCAATAATATTACACAGTAATATTCTCTTCTGGTAGATAACCATCAGGATGATATAGCAAAAACAGAAAACATAAACAAAATAGTCTAAAATTGTACTTATTGTATAATTCATTTAATTTAGTGAATGTGTCCATATGTGTTTACTAAATGCAGAAGAACAGTTGAGACTACACTTATGGTGAAAATGTTTATTCGATTTCACATTTTGTTTAGAAAATGAGATACTTTGTTCTTGGTTTTCCCATGATAATGCAAGATTCATAGTCTGAGAAGGCAAATTCTTTGCAGGATACAACATTTTAATAAGTATGGCAATAAAAAACCTCAGTAGAATAAGGTTTCGATTTCATTTTTTTATCTGTCAAAATTTGAGAATTTAAGTTTGGTAGATTTCAGATTCATGTTATTTCATTCAATATAATTGATTCCTTATATTATGTAACAGTTATTATATAGATCTGTGGTATGCAGAATCATACAATATATAATCATATTGTCCAAGGCCGGTCCTAATTGATGTTAATAGGGAAAGATCCAGCTCACAGTTTTTTTGTGGTGTGCCACAGGGCTCATACTCTCTTCACTCCTTTATAAACATCTATTTGAAGCTGCTAGGTGAGATCATCATGGATTGAAGTATCTGTAGTATATGGATGATACTCTATATTTCCACTCCTGGTGAACCGGGTGATACTGTTGCTGCCCAGAAGACCTTAAAGACCTAGCTCTGCCAGTTGGTTTGGGGATCCATGGGTGGGTGGGTACACGTTAAAGGTGGTTGAAACATTAATAACAAATCCCACCTGTATCCTCTCATGTTACTCCTGCCTTACCCACCCTTTATTTAGGGTTCTGTATTGTATTTTTGTAGTATTTGTATAGTTTTATCTTTTTAATATTGTAAGTCACCCGAGTTGTTACCCCATGGTAAGCCAATAAATTTAATTAATAAATAATTTGCATTGTGCATACCACCCTGTGCTCTGCAGGGCCCAAATGACCTTCACCATGTTCTTCCTCCCACTGCTGACAAGGCATACTCAGCTTGGGCCTATGTGAGGCAGCTGCTGGCTACACCAGGCCTTCTTCCTGATGCTATGCACACTCTTCTCATAATGCTTTGGGAGTTTTCTGAGAGCTTCTGATAACTCACTAGAAAGGCACATTCAGCTTTCTCCAAATTACATGTTCTATTTTCCAGATTATGTATGCCTTTCTCACAATGCTGTCCAGAGCGTCACAAGAAGGTTGTGCATGATTTGGATAATGGCATGTGTACTCTTGGGGAAAAAGACTTGTGGGCATCAACTGGGTTGCATAGATCCAAGCCAGGTGTACCTTATCAACAGTGGGAAACAGAAGACCAAAAGAAAACAAAAAGCATGACCATTGAATTGCTATAATTGGTAAAGAAAGTAAAAGATTGTGACAGTTTTAAACACAAACAGAAAGAACCACATGCCTTATTATAATATATTATAACATAGGTCCAGGTGCTGTATCTTGCCCTGTAGTAGAGCATTTTGCTGCTGTTAAAGTAGAATCAAGGCAAAACCCCAAGACAGTTCTTTGAGCTGAAATGTGTGACACATTTGTCAAACAGACTGAGCCCCATAAAAATCTTTGTTTTCATTTCCTTCTCCAAATTGATTAAACAACTGCTTCTGTTGCTCTTCCTGAACCAACATTTTTCAACTGAGCAATAGAATTTAAAAACTCTACTGCATGCTATATATTTTTATATATTTAAATTGACTTTCTCTCCATTGAGGGAAATCCATATAAATGTTTCTTCCATTTTTTGAAGTAGGAAAATAGTAATGGGTGTATGCTGAGCAATAACCTACATTAAGTTAAAACAGCTGTAGTTCAGCTTTTTGGTCCTAAAAATCTGTGGGATTGGCTGAAGTTCATTTTGGAACTCACTAATTCTTCATGCATTTATCCTTTTGTGTTAACTTTTGGCTTCTCTCTGAAGAAAAAAAAAGACTAAACATTCTTAGATTGTAATGTTTAGTAAACAGACTGTGTATTGCTGTGGAAACTGAGAGAACCCACGTATTAAATTTGTAAACTCTATAAATATGAAAGTTGCACATATCAGAGAATAGCTTTTACTTAGGTTTGTCTGTATGTGTCTCAAAGTATTTGTTTTTATTTCATTATCTATTTATCATATCATTATCAGATTGTATTAGTAATAAAAAGGAAAAGTGGTATTATAATACTACCCTTTAATTTCCCTGATACTAAGCCTTTGTAACACATGGGGAATAATGCACATGCTGGAATGGATTTTTTAAAAATTTGGAATCAATTCAAATTAAAAAATAATTTAGCTTCTTGCATGGTCACAAAATGAAAGTGAGAGTGCTTTTTGAACATTGAGAATAGATAATTTAATAAAGGGTTAAATTATTCTGATTTAACCAGTACAATATGGTCATGCAGGCATTCTAAACAGGGATTACACCAGACACCTCTTTTCTGAGCCAACCAGATGTATGATCCTTTTCCATATTCAAGAATGGTGCTCCCTGAGTGAAATGTACTATAATGAAGGATTGTAGTAATAGGCTCTTGACTGAACAAATTTACCCATGCACAACTATTCCCATTTGGGAAAACAGTTTACCACACAAAATTTCTCTTAAGAATTAGAACACTGTAGGAGGGGTTATTATGACAAGGTTAAAAGCAAACAGTTTGAGTTGTTCTGTTAGAATTACATTGCACAGGTGTCAACTGTTCTCTAAAAGCAAATTACTGCCAGCTTCTTATGATTAGGAGAAATGGGCAAAATTTGGACTTACTATCAGTATAGCTTCCGGTAATATTTGGGTATTGCTGGATTTTTTTCAAAGAGTTACCAATAACTTACCAAAGCTGTATCGTTGAATCACTGTCTGAAGCTTCTACTGCTAATAATCACTTGGGAAAATCTTGGCACACAAGAAACAGTATCAGCTAAACACCAACTCATGCCACTGGATCATGTTGGAGCTGAATTCAGTAAATGTATTGAGTCTACTGCCCCAGTCAATTTCCAAAGGATATTGCTGAACTTGCAAGGCTTCTGTACTTTGCAGAACTGAAAAATAAATTAACAAGAAATCCCAAACTGGTTCTGTTTTACCACTTGTCAGTATGACATAAAAGTATATCATTTTTTACTTTCCCTACCTAGAGTTGCTGACGTACAACTACAAAGATTTTGGTGCTTCCATGGACATTGGATATAATCACATGATCATGTAGAATAAGCTGTTAAGATTCTATTCAGAAATGTAGCTTTATGTGATGACAACTATGAGTTTTATTCCAACTCTTATTATAGAAGTGAAGGAATATGTTGACAGAACACTTAATTTGTGGGCCAAATCTCTTGAGTATTCTTTATAGTAATTAATATTACAAAGTAGTATCCCAGGAAACACAATATTGAATACTTTCCTTGGACTAATATGTAGCAATTTATTTATCACATTAGGTCAGTTAACATTTTAAAAAGATTCTCTGTTCATTTTTTTACTAGAAATGTATCCTGTGATTTCAGAAGAGTTATTTATTGGGGAAAAGATGAATGTGAAACTATTTTAATGACTTCTCTGGACTAGGAAAACCGAATCTGAGAATGATCACTTTATGTGGGTTTGGTGGAATTTAAAATGTGGAGGTGACTTAGTTTTAATGCATTGTATTGCAGGTTAAGTTTGCAATACTGTGCGTCCTACTTGGGGAATAAGCCTTATGTACAAGTTATCCTCAATTTACAGTGGTGATTTCCATCACTAAGCAAATGGTCATAAAGCTAAGTGGCTTCACTTAATCATGACAATTTCTGCAGTCCTGGTTGTTGTTAACTCATGGTCATTAGGCGAGGCAACTTCCTGTTGGCTTCTTACAACCAAAGTCAGTGGGGAAGCTGACATTGCAAGTTTAAGGTCGGCAGATAAGTAAGTGGCTGTTGACAAATGGGGGAGGGATTCAGGGGTTGCAGGGAAAGATCAGGGAGGGTACAAGGTGTGCAAAAAGTTGCAAAAAACTGACACAGTGTGAGCACAGAGGGGCTGGAGAAGGGTGTGTGTGGCAGAGACTTAACCCAGTGACTTTATTGTTAGCTTCCCCATTGATTTTATGAGGAACCTGTCAGTGAAGGTTGAAAATGACAATTATAGGGTGCTGCAACTAGTTGTAAATGTGAACTAGTTCTCAAGTACCCAGATTGCAATCACTAGATAATGGAGTGCTGGGCTGATCACAAATGGTCCTAGGTTGAGGAGTACATATAGATCCCCAAAGGATTGTGATTCCCTGAATGGGAAAAACATAATGAAATGTCATGTGATGGCAAGTGACATGGCGAGTTTGACATCCATGCTCTAGATGATGTTGGATAAGTTGCTATCTCACTAGCGAGTGGTTGGAGAAAAACTGGAGAAGGGAAAGCTATCTACATTGTCCTGAACTCATAGAATGACAGAATATAAATCTAATGACTAGATATATAAATCTCATGTTTATTCAGAATATCTTTAAGCTAAATAGGACTGATTCCTGCATATCTCAGCCTATAGTTGTAGAACAAAAATAAATGTAGTCTTGGACAGATACCACATAAGACCTTTATTACAATGTAATAAATAACTTTGTAACAATGAAGGAAATTTGAAGCTGATGCAATATAAGAAGCAATTTTGATTGCATGGTTTCTGAGGCTGTTCAAGTTGTACTCAAACTTGAAGAAATGAATACTGATATTGTGTAGATGCTGTCTATGCAATCAGTATAATAAAAGTATTGCATAGTCTAAAATACTGTGCAAACTAATTTAAAACTGCTCTTTTGAAAAATTGTCACTATATGCATGTAAAAGAAAAAAAAAGTGCATTTCCTGAAAGACCTAGCAGAGTTTGGAAACAATTTGTCTCAAATATATACAAAAGACATTTTACGTTAAGCCTCCAGTAAGTAAATCAGTGAAATAATGGCCTCTTGAGGATCACATTTGTTAATCTTGGCACAGATGTTGTAATTCAACTTGCACACACACACACACACACACACACATTTAAGGGGTCTTTGACATTAGAGTTTTTTGGTGCCTGCTGCTGCCTAATGGTTAGGCATTATAAACATATCCATCCTCTGAAATGTTGCTAGTTCAAAATGCTTTCAAGTTTTTTATAGCTGAAATCCATGTTCATAGTCTGAGTGGTGAGTGATACCATTCCATGCTTGAATTGGTCTTTTGTTTTTAATGACTCTTAAGAGCTAGATATTAGACAGGAGGGTTATTATTTATTTTATTCACTACTAAATATCACTGTATTTCATTTAAATTGAACAGTGACATTTATGGAAATAGTGATAATGTTGGCTTACAGGCATGTATCCTGCCAGACTGTGACTTCATGTTCTGATTTTTAATAGGGTCAGAATTTTTGAGTATTCAAAGAAATTAATTTACTACATTGAATGCTGTTAGTTTTTCTGTCTAGCATTTCCAGAGCTTAAGAAAGGGTTAGATGCACTTTTGTCTACAAACAGTGTAATACACATTTTTTCTTATTTTCCTGAAATGTTTAGCTTGAGGAAGGGATTATAACATATTTCTGCTGTTCACAGTAGTGGAATAAAATGAGAGGGTTCTAGGTACTGTACAATGTCCTTGTGGAGAAGATAGGGATTTTCACACTGTTACTATTGTTACACTGTTACTATTCAATGATCTTAAATAGTCTTGCAGATTTTATACTTCCAAAAAGTACTTTGGTAACATCTGTTTAGAAAACTACTGCCACAAGTTGAACAAAATTTAGAAGGAACTTTTATACTGGTTCATTTCAAGCAGGACATTTTTCAAAGGAGGCTGTGAGAAATTAAGTATGTCTACTTGCATGTATGAATCAGCTCTTGGCTTCTAGTAAAGATACTTATGATGTGGGTAGGGGGGAAGCTAAGGAAAGCTTTGAGAAGGTTATACATCTGGTAGTTTAGAAAAAACATATTTGGAAAAGTGGCTTTTGTATTTAAAAGTAATGTGGAGCTATTGTCTTCAGGTGTGTTTTTTCATCATCAGAATAAAGAAAAATTTGTTTTATGATGAAGAAATAGAAATAGGGAACAAATTCTGTAACTGTCTATAACTGCAACTGAGTTTCCTTTAGCTAAAATTGTTTCAATAACGGAGTCCATTTTTGACTCTTTGCTCAGCTGGCACAATCCAATTGTTTTTAAGATAAATATTTTTGTAATTGCCAGGATTTCCTCCCCTTTCAGTGTGAAGTATTTTTTTCTTTCCCTCTGGAGAGTTTTACCAACAACATTTATATTTTCTACTGAGTAAATATTTACTTGCAGAGTAGAAGAAAATGCTTTGTATAACAACACCATGACAATGCTTGAGTTATTAATTAGTAAACTTTTCTCCTTCATTTTCCCTAATCTTTCATCCAGGTTGGACAATATTTTCACACAGATTTCCACTTTGAAGGAGTTGTCACATAGAATTTAACCACAAAAATCAAGAAGATAGGGAGAAATCAGAGCATCTAGGTATTAAATCATATGGATATGTTTTAGTATCAGTTATAATATAGTCTTAATCTGTTAACCCAATGTGAGCAGCTGGCATTTGGGAAGTCAAACTGAGAAATTATTTAGAATGGAGAGTTGAAATATTTTTAAAGCATCTATCTATATGGGAAAAGTGGGAGTGCTGTATATAAATTTACTTGTGAACTGTGCAAATCTGCTTGTGAGATTCAAATCCAGAAGGAATTTGGAGACCTGTGGGTCTAGCCATAAGTGAAAAACAATGCATAAATTGCAGTAATTTTCTTTAGTTATTTAAATATTATATTTATTTATCATTTACTTTTATCCATGGAGAAATCATAAATTCATTTATTATTTTATGGAGTTTCAGTATCATAAATTTTGAATACATGTGCATTAACATGTAAACTCAGTTGAATCTAAATCTTCCAATTAATCATATTGGCAACTGAAACACCCTTTCCCTTAAGACGAGACAGGCCCCTAACCTCCTAGCCTTCCAGAAAGAAGAGCTGGCTTTTTCCACCAGCATCAGAGCAGAGTAAGGCTAGAGCCCAGCTGATGCATGAGGTGTCTTCTTTTGAGGGTATTAGATGAGTAGGTATACCAAACAAACAAACAAACAAATAAACAAACAAATAAATACAGTTCTAAAATGTCTACCTTTTAATTATTTCCAACTATTTTTATTGCTTACAAACTCAAACATTACCAATCAGAAGAAAAAAAAAACACTGAATAAAATTTCAGTATGTTCTTATCATATTTATTATTAATAATTTTATTATATTAAATATATAATTACAAGTTATCTAGCATTTAACATTATATATTTTTTCTTGAATATGAACTTCCATAAACCTAGATATTTAATATTGTGTTTTTCACAATATATTGATTTGGTTCCAGAAAACTATGAACAGAAAGAGTTCAATATAGTTCCTCCCAATAATGCATAAAATACCATTCCAAAGAAGCTGTTCATTTTCAGAAATAACATTTAGGAGAGTGTTACAGATATATAGAGAGAGATATGGAAAAACTATAGTTCTGTGGCAAAAGTCCTCTATTCTAATTTTTAAAAAATACTCTTGGCGTCAGACAGTGGTCATCTAAGTCATTTAAAGGCCAATATGTTAACAGTAAATAAATGACGCAAAAAAGGATTAAAATCTAATTTCAAAAGAGTCTGAAAGCTTTCAGTCTGGTAGTATAAAAAGAAAGGGAGATGAACTGCTGTTGTCAAGACCCAAATAGTTGAGCAAGATCAAGAATCATTAGTCTAGAAATAAATGACAAATTTTGAATATTGCAAGAGGAATTTCCAACCTTCATTTCCAGAAAATGAAACCAGGTTAGCATCAAATCTAATAACCTTCCAGAAATAGGTAAATTTGTAAAAGTATTTAGGGCAGGGGTAGGCTGTTACTGGTTTGCCCTGGTTTGCTAATTTTATCATTTTTAATTGCCGGTTCGGCGAACTAGTAAATCCCAACCCTGGCTGGCCCCTCCCCTCCCAGGAGTCTCCATTTTGGTTCCCAGGTAAGTACATGGCCTATGTGGAGGCTTGGGGAGGGCAAAAAACAGGCTTCCCAGAGGCTCCGAAAGGTCTGGCCTCCAGAGGGCCTCTGGAGCCTGGGGAGGCAGTTTTCACCCTCTTGGAGGCTCGAGAAAAGCTTCCAGAGCTCGGGAAGAGCAAAACACCCCCACCCTGTGGTGCAGGAAGCCCACTAGACTACACCCACCATGGCCATGCCCACACAGCAGAGAACCGGTTGCTAAAATTTTGGAAGCCCACCCTTGATTTAGGGGATAAAGCTGATACCATCAGTGACATTAGTATTCGTTGGGTAATATATCTTCTGATATTTTACTTATGTGAATGGCCAACACAAAAATAGGTTGGGGTGATTTGATTGTCTGGAGAGAATGAAATTTGAATTGCAAAAGAAAGAAAGGAAGAGACCGAAGAAGTTGTGTGTTACATGAATTCATAAAAAAAGAATGTGGAAAAATTAAAGAACAAAGAGTAATGCATGAAGTCATGTATAAACATGACAGAAGCCAGCATGGTTTGCAAGTGAAAAGTGTGGAGAGATATAAGAATGCTTTTATTGCAAATTACTTTTAATTATAAATCTTTTTCTTACCTTATTTGCCTTCTTACCCCTATTTTCTTTGGCTTATTACTTCTTTCTCTTTTTCTATGCTTTGCATAAATATTTCTTACCAAAAGTAAATAGCATGATGAGTGTAAAGGATGGGGAAATGGCATGATAAAATGTAATCTTAAGAATGGCATTAAAATATATGATATTTTTCACCATTGCAATGTTAGACTTTGGATTCACCTAAGCTTTGTCAACATTTCTCATATATCATATAATGATGGAAAAGAGGAGAAACTTTCTCTCTGATGAGAACTGGGAAACTACTAGCTCTGACCCAACAAAAACATGTATATGGGAAGTGCATTTAGTCCCACCTGGATGAAAACTTTGTCTTTGAATTAAATGATTCAAGTATCCCATGCTTGTTTTGCCTTTAAGAGTGAAAAATCAGTGCCCTCCTTTGATTTATTGACAGGGTTTAATTCTTTTCCTACTGGGTGCCCTTTGGTTTGGTGGGACTGTCACTATCAGCTTTCTCATATCTGGAGGAATTGGGGAGGGGGAAGTCTGGCCTGCAAATGTAAGTAATATAATTTGTAGAGCTTTGTGATGCAATTTATTGTGACTATTGCTGGTTCAGAGGATTTTAAAAGCAATAGAAGGTGGGATTTTTTTTTTTAATGTATCAAATGTGTTAAAGCCCTGGCAGTCAAAATGGAAGGCCCACATTGAGAAGGGTAACCAACAGACACCAAGCAGTAAAAGAGGAAAAGACTGTGGTCTTCAAGTCTAATGGCATAAAATAAATAACTTTTATCAGGATTAAAAAAAAATTGGCAGGGGAAAGTATATACTGTAGATGGAGTACTTGGAAGCCAAAGCTAATGTATGTTGCCAACTAAAACTACTTAGAAAAAAGTAAAGAGGCTGAATGGTAGATTTGGAGTGTACGCTTTCTATGGCTGTATCTGTGTTTTGGTGGAAGTATTCTCCGTATCACCTGTTTTTCTTTTTGCAATATGTTGCTGACCCATATTGAGGACAAATATGATTAGATTTTGGGTTCTCAGAAGTGAACTGTGCCTTCTTCTTAAACTCACAATCTCTTTCTTATCACAGGAAGGAGGCAAAGTTTTCCTTCTGCTATTATTTAACTTCACTTTGTTATTCTTTCTAAACTGATAGACAGTACGTAATATTCCTGGTTAATTAGAAATGTGCCGGTTAAAACTCAATTTTGTTATGTAGATGACGAAACAGTAAAGCAGTAAAGAGATTTTCTGCCAGTAGCTTGTATTTAAGGACAAAAGTATTCTGAAAAACATTTTTAAGTAGAAGGATTGCAGTCAAATGAAGCTGGAACTCAGTAAGGGGATAAATCGATGTGTGAGAGGATATTGCCAGTGTCATAGCCGTTAAATACACTATTTGTGATCCAAATTAAGCTTTGCCATATTGTAAAATTCCTGAATATATCAATAAATTTTTGTTGTTATATGTGACTTAAAAGTGATTTGTTAGTTACATTTAGCTGGGGATGATTTTGGGCTTCAGAAAGAGTTTTCAAAATGAGTCTATATTAAGAAAACCAGCTGTAATTATTTGAGAATGAGAATAGTGCTGTTGCACATAATGGCAAAATATTTTTAGTGCTCTGTTTAAACTTGCATATTTTGCCTTAGTCTGGGCATTATCTCATGCTTATTCTTATGAATTACCAATCTTGGAGTCAAACAGCAGAATAGAAAAAACTCCTTGCCTTCAATAGCTGAGACTTCTAACATTCTGAAAAGTTCTAGAAGGATATGATTTCAATTACTGTCATTGAAAAAAATTGTGCTCTTCATCGATCATAATTTCTGTAAAATAACTAAAATCACTGTATTTATATTGACACATCAATTCCAAATGTAGGTTTGAAAGACATATATAATCTCCATGACTTTTGAAAGTAAAAAGGCAAAAACTCAAGGAGAAGTAGTTCTCAAGACATGGTGTCTGAATACCTAACAGTTACTCTAGTCTAGACACTTCATATGTGTTTCATAAATTTTCTTAAATGTCAATCTCTTTATGAATATTGGTTTACTGAGAAGTTTAACATCAATTTATGTGCACTGTGCATATTGTGATATGCCATGATACTCTGCTTTTTAAAATACTAAAACTATTCATAATATTGTTCTGCCAGTTCACCCTGCTTTGTCCTTATTTCAAAAGCATGATGCAAGTCTAAATTTATATTTAGCAATTGTGCAATTCAGTTGTAGCAGTGTAAGTTAAAATGGTTATCCAAACTATTTGTAACTGATTGCTTATTACTTGGTAATTCTTAACACAGGGCAATATAGGAAAGAGAGAAGTAACTGTTTGATCAGTTTGCCCTGTTTATTAACACACAATATGTGAACAGAGTCTGCATGGAGTCAAGTTCTTTTGTTTTCCATATTTCAAACAAAGACTTATTTGCTTGGTCTCCAGAAAGCATTTAAAAAGGATCTTCACAAAACACATTAACATGATGAAGCATTTCTCCTTGAAACATTACAGATAGTACTTGACTTACAACCGATTGCTTAGCAATTGTTCGAAGTTATGACAGACCTCCCTGGGGGTACTTACAATCTGGTTCCAGAGTGGGCCATGTTGTAAAGTACTCTTACTTCAGCTTTCCTTGTGAAGAACATTAATGTGAGGATTGATCATAATGTTACTTTTTCATCATTTTGATAATATTAATGCCTAAATCATGGAACCGTGAAAAGTTGGGAGGAATTTGTGATAATTAGAATGAAATGAATGAAATTTAAACATTGCCTGTAAAAACACATTGATGTTATTAGCAGTGAAGCACAAAAATACAACTTGTAGAAAGATTGAAATTGTATTTGGTTGACTGACCGATTACTTGTGTAGTTAATCTTTCATTGAAAATAAATCTAATATATTTTCTTGTATTCTAAAAATCCATCTTTTATATATGACATCAACAAAGCTTTCAATTTTTAATGTCAGTTATAGATATTTTAAAATGACTAAGTGCACTAACATATTTGTTCCCTCACCTGTTGAAAAATCAATATTGATACATTAGGTAGTTAGGAGAAATAATCAGATAAACATCCAGTGCTTCCTGCTCCCTTTTGCCTTGTAAAATGAATTTCAGGGCCTTTTATATTAAAAAATATGTTTACTTTCTTTTGCCCTAGTTTAGACTTGGATCATTGAAATTACAAAGAGTTACAAACTCACCTGAAGTCATTAGAGAGTTGATTATCCATTGCCTTGATTGTGTAAAAGAACTACATGCCAAAAATGATCACCTACAAAAAGAGAATGAAAGGCTTCTGAATAATCTGGGTGACATGCAAGAACAGTAAGTTGAAAAATAATATTCACAGGTTTTTTAAAACTTTTCTTCTGATTCCCTCATATTTTTTATTATGTGAATACAATGCCTATTTACTAAACCAGGGATTAATTAACCAGGAATTAATTAAATCAGTTGGATATGACCTTTATTGGATTACATCCATCAGTGAAAACACAGAAATATATTTTCTCGCTGTTTAAGTCCTGCTGAAAATTTGAATCTTGCTAGGTGTATTGCAGAGATATTTATTTATATATTGATACGTTTTTATTATTTCTAGGCTATTCTTCCTCACCACTCCCCAAACTAATTAAACTTAATTTATGTACAGGAGTTCTGCAGGTAGTTGATTAGTATCTCTAATGTTTCTAGCAAGATTTACCGAATTGACCTCTGCAGTAATGATACCCAGTCATTTGCATTTAAATTACTTGACTTATTTATTAGCTATTTAATATTCACATCATAGGATTCTTTGTCATTTATGAAGTTATTTAGTAGATAAATCTGTAAAAGTTATATTTTCTAACATTTTGACATGGACTAGTGTACGAGGACTCAAATATATTTGATATAAATAAAAAGTTTAAATGCATTTAGTCATTTAATGTACACAAAGAAATGTGCTTTTAAATTGGAAGACTGAAGTGCCCAATCCTATTCTACAGTATTCCAATTCTACATTGCTTTACTTATAGGATGATGCATGTAGAATTAATATATTATACATACACATGATATAATACACATACATACTCCTATGTATTATATCAGATATATTTAGTGCCATTGTGGATGGATGTTTTGATGGGTAAATCCCCAACATCAGTAACAATTTGCAATTACTATATGCAGATTCAATGTTTTAGTGCTCGTGTAGTAGCATGACAAGTGATTGCACTTCTGGAAAGTTTGGCAATACTTTGCTTTTCTAATTAATGAGACTGTACAGCAGAACGAGATTCCATATGGTCCTGATACACATGTGGTAGTACTAACAAAATGACCTATTTATAAAATAGCTGCTATCACTGGCAGATTTAATCCCAAATTCATTTACTGGCAGGCAAAGTAGCTCTCAGGATGCTTTCTGTCAACTCACTGGGACACTGAGAGATTGAAAGGTATGGTTGCAGCAAATAAGATGCTAGACAATGATGCTTTACTTTCAGAATGCAAGCAGTACGCATGCTAGCAATATGCATTGTGCAAATAAATTGACAGCATTCAGTATGAGCCTGCATATTTTGAGATTTTTTCCATAAGCTATTATATAGGTTTTTTTAAAATTCAGCTTGCATCTTTGATATTCGATTAAAATAATTATCTCTTCCAAATGTAAAATCAATAAATATGTATAATATTTGTATCAATAATGAAATCATAATCGAATTATTTTGCTGGTATAGTCTTGCTTCTATTCACTGTCATCATTTCCGCCACACTCGATGACTTTGATTTAAGCTTCCCAAGAAGATCAACATTGTATTTTTTTACAATTATCTTATTCTTTATTATGCAATTAACAAAGGCATTTGTTTTTAAGATTACAAAAATGTGTTGAAGCTAAAGAAGAACTGGAAACTGATCTTTATAAGCGATTTGTCTTGGTCCTCAATGAAAAGAAAACAAAGATAAGAAGTTTACTGAAACATTTAAAAGAAGTCAAAGAAATGGTACCAGAAACTGCACAAGCAAGGTATAATTTATTATTTTCCTTCCACTAAGTAAACATCATGCATGAAATAGATGTAGCTCTGTTCTCTATTTTGTGCAGGCTTCAAAATTCAAGGACTGCGTGTCCTTGAAATGAAGTAATATATTACTTAGTTCTATAGTACTAAGCACTCCAGCATTCTCATGAATGGCAATGATACATTTATTGTAGTAAGGTGACCAACCACCTCCTTTAGGGAGGACAGTCCTCCTTTTGTAAGTTCTGTCCTCCCTCGAAAAGTGTCCTCCTACATGTCCTCCTTTTTGATATTTGAAGAATAATCTATAAATCTCCGTATTTGATCGATGCCTTCTGATCTGTTGTGTGTGATGTGACGTATTTGACATGACAATTCATCAAGGCTCGTTACAGTGTGGCGAGATGCGATTATGAGACGCATGCGCTCCACATAGGAGAATTGTTTTGAGGGAGTGTGACGCGCGCAAGAGTGTGCTGCACATGCAAGAGTGCCCCGGCTTCGTTTTTTTTCTTCAATTTATTTGTGTCCTCCTTTTCATTGTAAAAAAGTTGGTCACCTTAATTGTAGTGTATATTTGAAGCATTCTATTTAATAATTTAATATGCTTAATTTATTTCTTAAACTGCATATTTTTAAAATAAAATAGTTAATGAGAAATGAAATCTGAAAACTATTTTCTCTTGCAAATGATCTACTTATGGGTCTGTGATTGCTAGAGAATACTAATTGAAAGTAAGTGTTTTCCCTATAAATTCATTAAAAATATTTCAGCTTAGGTTGATGTCATTGATCCTAACAATGGGACCTAAAAATGGCAATTTTTCTTAATAAGACTTAAAGATTAAAGCCGCTCTGTATTCATATATAATTCAGAAAATATCAAACTACTAAATGTGCAGAGTTTTGCAGTAACAATAGTATTATAATGCTATTGATATTAGGACTATGCTGCAATCTTTTTCCAAGCCCAAATAGTGATTCAAAGTATATATGCAATGTTTATCAGGAACATTTTAAAACTATTTAAGATATTCTTGGTAGGAGCTACATCTTTTAAGAATACCCAAGGGTCAATACACACCTATAAATGGAATAAATACATATAGTTCGTAAGTTAAACCATTCATTTAATGACCTTTTGAAGTTATGGTAATGCTGAACGAGTGGTCCCTGACATTTCAGCCATTGCAGCACCCTTGCAGTGTCACATTATTAAAATTTTAGGCGCTTGGCAGCCGGCCCGCACTTATGACTGCAAGCTCCTCCATCTACCTATCTCTTCCCCACCCCATCTTTGCCCTTTTAGTTGCCCTGCTCTGACTAACACTGCAGGCATTGTCAGTCTGGTCCTGCTGCCTCTGCTAGCCTTGGTGCCTCCAGTTGACCTTTGCTGTCTTCCTTCTGCATTTTTTCCTGAGGCCTCAGCTGCTTTTTGCGCAAAGTGCATGTGGCCTTGTCTAAACTGTGTATGGCTTTCTCATGAGAAAGGCACCTGTGCTTTCATATAGCTGTGTATATAATAATTGCCTTTTTTTAAAGGCTAGAAAAAAGCAATGACTTTTTTCTGTATTGTTGCCAATAAAATATTTACATAATTATCCTAAACTCCACTGACATAAGAATGTCTTTACTTAAATAAAATTATGGATCAACTTTGGTTAAGTCTTGCCTTGAGATGAAATTTTGGAACTTAAATATATAAATGGGATTGAAATAAACATTAAATTTAACCAGGAGACCATTTCATTTCTTGTATTTATATTTGTTTTTATTATTACATTGACTTCGACACACAATGATGTTAATATAAGATATATAATTGAAAACATTTCTGGAGATAATTATAATGCATGCTTATAGGCTAAAAATACAACTTTTTTGTTCTGGTGTGAAAGAAAGCTATATAGAACCTGACTATGTTTGTGACCTGGGGGTATTTTTATTATGACATTTTTATGATTAACATAGCTAACTTGCTTTGCTTTTATTTATATTTAAATATATAATGTGAGAACTTATATAATAGGATTCCTGATAACATACCCTACCATCATCTCTATAGGATTTAGTTATTGGAAAATATTTTATCTTACTGGTTAATCTGTCATGTTAGAATAGATTTGGCATGCATCAAAAGCTAAGCATATACTTACTTTTTCCCTAAGGCACTGAATGACTGCAAAGTTTGATTTAATGTTATAGAAATGTTATATACAGAGTTTTGCTGTGCCATAAATTGGGAAGAAAACATACGACAGTATAACAGATAAGATATTAAAAGTTTAATGAGAACCAGCATCTGTCAACATTATTGGTAACATTTAGACAAATAGGACTAACATTGACTTTCATGGCTTTGAATGTCTCACATTGGCAGTGGGACAACAGCTATTAAAGCATTTTTGTAAAATTGAAGCCAGAGATTAGGGAAAGAAAATAGAGTGTGGAGATATAAAGAATTCAAAAGGAAAAAGAGTGAAAAGTTCAATAACAAATAAAATATGTAATAAAATGTGTGTTCTCTATTCCTTTCACTTATTTATTTCATTTATATGCCCTTCCTCTACCCTCAACTCTCAAACAACTCTGCGACTTACAACTAAGGTGGGTAGATAGGTGGGTAGGTAGGTAAGAAGGTAAGTAGGTAGTAGACAAGAAGGAAGGAGGGAGGGAGGGCAGGAGGAAAGATGATACAACTGATCTTAAGCGCCAATATTCGTAAGAAGTATTCAACATGAATCAAAACAAAGCAAAACAAACAAAAGGACAAAAGGAGGGTTCTACAATCACCTTGTACCCAACGCCTGAGAAAACGACCTTCAATAGTTTCTTGAATGTCAGAATGCCGGGAATGACACAAATCTCTTTTGTCTATTTTCAGTCTCCATCATTACAACAAGAAATGTGTTTGTAAAAATAATTTACTGTTTCAAATGCTACCCAACATTACAAAGTAAAATTAATTAAAATCATTCCTTTTTTTCTACTAAGGCATATTGTCCTTTTCTTGCCTTTTTATGAACTTCATATGTTCTACAATACTGGTGTATTTTGATAACGTTTTGATTTTTTTTTTAGGGACACAGTAATTGCTTCAAAAAGTACAGTTCAAAAAGAAAATTATGAAGGAAGCACTGATGAAGAAAGTGAAAATTTGATACAACTGACAACATCAGAGTCAAGTAAGATAGACCAAGTTGCTTATATTGATGTCATTACAACCATCCATTCTAATTGATCCAAACTGTCAGGTTCTTTATTAATATGAAAGCATACAATTTTAAAAGCTTTAATCTTGGAGAGAATCATGTTCAGTAAGTCCATTTTGGTGCTTTAAAAATCAAAATATTAAGATACAGATTTTTCTAATAATAATAAGGTACCGGAATGAAAGCTGTGCATTGAGATAGATAGTGCACTGAAAAGATTATAAATGCCTTTACAGAATTGGAAATGGTTACAAAATGTATAGTAGACTGAAAGAACAACCATCCAGTCAGTCCTGAACTTAATTAAAGACTGACTTATTGAACTGATTATTATTAACGGGAACTCAGTTACTATAGATGTGGTGAAAAAGAACAACTCAGGGAAAAATTGCATTCTTGACAGGCAGACAACTCATTGTCTTTTTCCCCTTTTATATTTAATTTGGTGAAACAAAATTAAATATTTAATTTTGCTTTATATTTAATTTGGTGAAACAATTTGCTTAATTTTTTTTAATTATCGGGAGGAAGCAATTGTCCTTTCACTGATTTTGAGATAGATGGCCAAAGGACATTTTTATTATGGAATCCTCTTTCCCTCTTTAATTTAATCTCCAGAGAACTTCTGTTTGGCTTCTCCAGTAACAGGACTTTTCTAAGTTGTAGTAGGCTGCTGGAAATCGTTGGATAATTTCTCTTCTTCCAGAGGAATTTGGACATCATCCACTCATTTCTTTGCTCAGAAATTTGGTGAAAAATCTCAGCTGTTCCCTTTTCTAGTTCTGTATGTTTTTGATACAGTGAAAAACAACCAGCAAATTTTGAAAAAGCAAACACATGGAAGAGGGACCTGACTTTATTTTTATATATTAGAAGTACTTCTCGACTTACAACCACAATTGGGACTGGAAATTTAGTTACTAAGCAATGTAGTTGTATAGCAAGATAACACTGGGCTGCATACTTAGTGATACCAACTCTGGTAATTCCTGTTGCCATCATTAAGCAAATTTTACTGGTTGTGAGCCAAGGACCCACCCAGTGCCTTCCAACATTTAGCCTCAGTAAGATAAGGGACTGCCTTCAACTTCTCTCACCCACTCCCCCCGCCCCCCCATCTTTGCCCTTTTGTTTACCATGCAAGGCTCTGGGGCTGCTTGCCACACCCTAGGAAGCCAACACCCCAGCCTAGTCCTGTTGCCCTTGCCACCCTGCACTCCAAGATCCCTGCTGCCCTGCACTCTTCCATTCCATCTAATCTTTGCAGTCTTCTTGCCTGACCTGGCTGCCTCACCTGCTCTGAAGCTGGCTTTGCATTGCAAAATGGGGGGTAAGTGTAAGAGAGCCAAAATCAGCCCTTGAGCCACATTGTCCCAAAATGTCTCTTTGGAAAGAGCTACTGGGCAGAGTTGGGGTGGTAGGAGACTAGAAGGTCATAGATGATGGAGAAATTGGCAGGTGGAGGAAGTTGCAGCAACTCCCCCCCCCCCATACACACACAGTTATTAATGCAGGCAGGCTGCCAAGTACAGAGTTTTGTTTACAGCAACAGCCATAACTTCCTGCATAGATTGTAAGTCTTTTCATTCAGCACATTGTAACTTTGAACAGTCACTGAACAAATGGTCATAAGTCAGGAATTACTTTCTGAATCATGAATTGATCTCTCATAAGAAGGAAAGACTTTCCATGAATGAAATTATCAAGAACATCATTATTTTTTAGGAAAAAAAACCATAAATGAAGCCTCTTCAGCAGCTTGTAAGGGAAATTGCTCTCACATTAATTCTTAAGCCTATAAATAATGTTGAAGCAATGTCATGTCTCTGACATTTGGTCCTAAGTAGATTTGAAACAGACTCTCAATGTGTGGGTAACTTAAATTGCAAGACTCTTTGTAAATCATTGTGCTCTCTCATGTGTTCAAAACAAATTAGAGTGTAATGTTTATAGGTCTCTTAGCTGTTTATAACTTTTACCTGACACTGCTTTCTTTGGCAAAGCATTGTACTGCTGGGAAGCTGGTTTATTTTGTTTACATATATTGTTGCTCAGACTGGGCTGTTACAGATGTCTTTGGCAAAATTATCCTCAGATCTTTGATTTGCAAAGAGTACTTTATTCTACTTTTTTGTCATTCTTTCCCATAACATTTAAGTTTTTCTGTTTGGTATATATTAGTAATAAAAGCACTCTATTCATTATTTTAACTCATGTCTGGTACTTATTCATGGATTGATTTGGTTGTATTTTCAGCAATTAAAAGACTTGGTTTGTTTGTTTTCCTCCATTTTGCAATCTAAATTTGCTATGTAGAAGTAGTTCTTAACAATGCAAATCTCTCATGCCAATGAAATACTGTACTATTTGTTGGTTAATTTTATCTATTTTCTGATAATCAAAAAAAAAATATCATGGTGGAGTTAGTTAGCCAGGTATTGCAATTAAAAAATGGTTATTTTATCTCAAAAAGTGGTTTCATTTATTTCAGAATGCAAAATCATTTCCCCATTTGTACCTAAAGCACAACATGTATTCAAAACATTATTTTTCTGCTACGTTTCCATGACATTGCCTTCTGAGTTCATGAGTCAGACTAAGCCATCATTGACTGCCCCAGTATTAAAATAGTCTTTCCCTCCTTAAATCAATGACAATTTCAAGGTTCATAAAATCCATGACACTTCATCACTCATTACATCAGTACTGGATAGGATCAGAGAGGTGCTAATTGGGCATTTCAGCCTGATACGGGTGTGTCCCATCCCTGATGGGTTTGTGCTGTGCCAGAACCAACACAGCAGCGCTGTTGCAGTAGTGTGTCAGATTTGTGTAAGGACAGTAGAGCTCTATTTTTTAGTGCAAAGGTTGCCTTTCTGTCCTTTAGCAATTCTGTTACAGCTGCATTCAAATGCTTCAACCCTTGCCTACTCAGAGAGCACAATTTAGCAGATGGACACCATTAAAAAAGGTAGAATGGTGGAAACAATCAGCAGCCATTAATATAAATGATAATCTCATACTAGTACTAGGTTGCTCTGCTGGCAGTACTGCAAGTGTTTTAACCTTATGGCTTTACTACAAGGCTGAAAGAATAGGACAATTGAATGAATCCACTACCTCTACATCTTGAACAGAATACAAAGGCACTAGAAATTTGTATATTTATGTATGTAAAGAAAGGAAATGAAGCAAAAGAAATCCAAAATAAAAATACTGCTTTTTATCATTTCCAATCTTTAATGTAGGGATTTTTCAAAGTTAAGTTCAGGTTGTGGCAGGTAGAATGTGGTGTGGCAAAGAAGGGTTATAAAAAGGAGGGTAAATATGATGGAACTGAATAAATGCAAAAGGGACACATAAAGTTCATCAATGTGACAGCAGTTTTATTCTAATACTAGACAAGTAACACTTTGGAATACATTCAGAGAGGTATCTGACCTGAAAAGATGCCATGTTGAACTATATAGCAGAGTCAAACATCAGCACAGGAAATGTCTTATGAACCTTTATGATAATGACAGTTCATGCTTTATGATAATGTTTCATAATTTAATGTCTAATAAAATGTTTTATAAAATTGGTCAACTTTCAATTCCATATGAATCATGGGTCCTGGATTTTGAGTGCATTAAGTAAGCCCATTTGAGGTACTTTGGTTCAAAAGGTTTTGCCCTTTGGTGCATCATTTTGCCCAGTTAAAGGTTACAGGTATCAGCACAAAATTATCAAATAGATACTTTTCTGGATGGGTGAATAGCACTTAATACATCAGGATAGCTTAGAATGTTCTAAAGATTAACTATTAAGATCTCATCTGAATATTAAACTAGATATTTATCGACTTCCATTCTTCATAAAAGCAAATTAGGTTCCAATAAATTCTTCTGATACACATTTATTATTGTGCAACAGACATATAACAATGAAGCTCAGAGAAAAGGACTATAATATTACTACACAGGTTCTGTTGATCTAGGCCCCTTGAGATGTTTGGGGATGATAGTTTCAAGCTGACATGATCATCAACAGCAATGCAGTAAATAAACTGCAGTTCCAAAATAACTTGAAGGAAAGCAGATCAGCAAGAGCTGGACTAAAAAAAATATCCTTAGAGCTACACAGGACTTCAGAATTAATTTGGAAAAGTTGTGTGAAGTATGTAGAAGTATGAATGAAGCACACTTTAAAGCATCTGCAACTTTTTAAAAGAACAATGTCTTCTCCTTGGATCATGTGGCTGTCCTTAATGCTGCCGTACAATCCCAGGGAAAAAACACTTTAAAGCGGGGGTCTCAAACACAATTTACCACTGGGGCCGCTGGAGGCAGAGTCTGAGTGAGGCTGGGCCGCATAATATTATACTTTATATTATACTTTATATTTATATTATACATAATATTATACTTTCATATCATGGTGGGGGCCACAGGATATCATCCTGTGGGCCGCAATTGGCCCACGGGCCGTGAGAATGAGACCTCTGCTTTAAGGAATCATGTGGCTGCATGTTCCAGTGGTTAGAGTGCAGTAATGCAAACTACTTCTGTTGACAGCCAGCTGCCTGCAATTTGGCAGATCGAATTCCACCAGGCTCAAGGTTGACTCAGCCTTCCATCCTTCTGAGGTGGGTAAAATGAGGACCTAGATTGTTGGGGGCAATATGTTGACTCTATAAACTGTTTAGGGAGGACTGTAAAGCACTATAAAATGGTATATAAGTCTAAGTGCTATTACTTATTGCTATATGCTGGATAGAGACGTTGATTCTTTTGGATTTGCTTTTCTTCCTCTTTAACTTTCACATGAACTTGAAACATTTTTCAAAACCAATTCAGAGTGAAACAATAAATGCAAATTGGCTTGAAAGAACTGAAACATGCTTCCTATTAGTATGGTGCTTTTTAACTGTCTTTTAGAATCCTTGACTACAAAATCAATATACCTGTTTTGAATAAAAATAGATTGGAGAA